GTTTAATGCTCAGCCAGTTTGTCTTAGGCCCATCATTCCTTTTCTGATCTCGATATCTGGCTGAAAAGAATGGAGTCATTTCTTAGATGGCGATGCTGTTTAACTCTAATTAAGCGCCAAAACCAGCTTTATTGTACACATCGCACCCTGTCGATTTGTCGTTGTTGGTCTTTACTCTGAACGACTGTGTGACAACATTCAGTTGATTGAAGCGGGGTAAAGGCGGTGTTTTTGTTGAAATAGTTCAATAGCTATAACAGCAGGCATTCTGGCTCCAAACGTTAAAACAATTGCGAACTACATTAAGAACGTAATAACCAGTCCATGCCTCTATCAGTCCATGCCTGTCTCTTGAAGAACCAGACCATGAGGTAACGGCTAAAACGTCCCTGCTGGTCAGTCATCCGATTGATAGTGTTGTTTACTTTTCTTATAGATAAAGCGTTAATTGTTTTGTTTTCAGTAACTACAACAATAGAATACATTGTCACACTGAAGAGTCAGCATCAGCTTTCAGATGGGTGAAGAATTATCGTTTTTTAAGTTGCTCGCATTGGACACCATGGCAATAGCCTTCCTCCATTCTGGTATGACTGCGCCAGAATACCATGCTTCCGCTGTAGTATGTAAGTCGATGACTTGCTACCTGTCTCTCGGCTGGTTGCACCGAAGCAACGGGGGATATGTTCTTGTTTAAGGGAATTAGCTATTTGGACAATTATTTCGGCACCTCCGGAGTTCGAAGGCGATTTTTTAGCCATTTTGATACCGCCATTACGTTCCTTTTGTTAATTAATCGATGTTTCACAGAAATAGTTGTCTAATATAAATAATAGTCTTTAGTACGTTTCTTGCGATATTTTGCACCATGAATATACCCTTTATATTGCTCGTTGTCTCTAACTGGGTGTTTCTAGCATTATCATTTCAGATCACTAATTTTGCTTATGCGATCAGATGTTTCTAAGGGATCAGAAATCTGTTGACAAGAACAACGTGTATCCAGTTCTATCCCAGTAATGTAATTCTTTAACTGAATCGCTGGAAAAAAATATGCCACAAAGATAGAAGCGTAGGACAGTTTTTCTAGAAGGCGATCAGTAGATCAGCGCTTGTACAAGCATCTCCTGCAGGTGCACTATGTTTTGTTTTATGTTTGTACTAAATGTACATACGTTTTGTTTTGAATTCCTTTAGGAGTCAAGGAGTCATGTAAAGATATATAAACTCGATCGCCATGATTTACAAGAATGCAAGAGCTAACGTAAAGCTTCACGAAACTACAAATAAGCTTAGAATCGAAAAGTGTGATGCAGCCTATCGAAATTATTTACAGCAGCTATAAAAGAGATTTTTCAGACATTCCGTTGTGTAAAGCTACCTGCGGTTTTCAGCGACATTCTGATCGTTTGAAGGTCACCGGAAGGACTCTAAAGAAGAATCCAAGAGCTGAACAGCGCCAACATATGTTGAAATAAACGGACCTAAGCTGGCTAAAGCGCAAAGCTGTATCTCTTTGTAACAGTTAATTTCTCGAACTGCGAACCGACTCTGACAAATCAGTAAAGGAATAAAAATGCCACAAGGTCCCTTTAGAAGACTGAAATCATTCTTACACGGTAAACTGCCCTTATGCTTAGTAAATTTTCTGATCATTGTGTGTTCCCAGTGCTAAGCTATGTGAGAAAAGCGGACCTTAAGAATGAAAGTTATTCATAACCTGTAGATTGCGCAATACAGCATGGAAAGATGTAGCACAAAAATATGCGAAGATGAGTAAATGATTAAGAGCACACATGAGAGTTTGCAAAGTCATCACTCAGGTGAAGAAGTTATGGCTTACGGAGTACTCATTAAAAGAACCGACCATCATTGGACCACAACGATATTAGACTGTTGCGTTTGCATGAGAAAGTAAGCTACGTAAGTAGGAAGACGGGCAGATCAATGGTAGGATAAGCTAAGTAAGTTTATCCAGCAGTTGACCGAAAATGACTGATAATGATATACCATATACTATCACAGGTCAACGAATTAATATAAAATTAATGAGTATCTACTTAGTGAACTAATAAAGCAAATATTTTTTTCTCTGTCGCTGAATCTCACGCATTTCAACAGAAATGGTAGCATTGACCGTTTGGGAATGCTTTTGCATAGCAGGTTATTTGTATTGATCAGTGTCTCCAGATTCTTTGCTAGTCGAAACAGGGCTCCGTCTTTGCTAGTCGAAACAGGGCAGGCGCTCCGCAAGTTAGTATTGCAGGTCCTGCAGCGTGATCTGGCATCATTGGTCCCAGTGCTGCAGATCTCGTGACTTCTGAATTATGGTGCTTGCAAAGTTGTTTATGGTTGCCACCGGGTTTGGACCACTTTTTCCCATCTGACTTTGTCAATCGCCAACTGTTCAGTATGTTGTGCGAAAGGTTAAACATTCAGACAGCAAAACTGAAACCGCATGTAATAACATAATATTCTCTCAGTATCGTTTTCTTACGTAGGCAAGCGAACCTTCGACGAACGGTCTGCTGTAGATGTTTTGGCGAAGATTTGATTCAAGAGATTTCTCGTGACTTTTAGAGGTTGAAAGCGATTATTCTCAACCAGTACAGAATCAGTCATATATGATATGAAAAACAGATTCAAAACTGTACCTTTATTTGTATTTTCTATGCCATTACCATGCTTATTAATGTGTTGCCTGGAATTGCACTGCTTTTGCCTTTATCCAGAAAGAGTGCTGAAAAATTATTTGAGCCTTTTTCTCCAAAGTAGATGGATCATAAGAGGCTACCGAAAGGATAAGAAATTACCATTTATAGTTCTTCTA